GTATATAGGAAAATAATAAATAAATACATGTTTATATGGATTTCTTACATATTTTTTTGGTAGATAAGAATATATTCTAAGGTAATTATAATTCCAAAAATTTTAGACGACAAACCTTTTATTTTTATTTAAAAATTAAATTCTTTATTAAAATTTAAAATATGGCATAGATAAATAACAGTTAAAAAAGCTGTAATATTAAAAAACTAAAATATACCAAATGTAAAATAAATTTTTTATATGAACTTTTTGAAAATATTTCAAGATTCAAACTGACAATATATTTAAAGGATAGTGTAATAATAAAAATATATATAATAATTAAGAGAGAAAAAATAAAATAGTTATATAAATTTGGTGATATATCTCCTTATCATTGTTTTCTTTTTAACTTTACCAGCCCAAATTATAAAATAGATAAATCTAATTGTAAAAAATAGAAGAACATGTTAAAATATTAAGATAAAAATATAAAAGAGTAAAATTATATACATACACCCTTCAATCTTCCTAAACCTATCTAACACTTAATAAAATATTAATATTTTAGTTTTTCTACTTTATTTATCTCAATTTGTTTCATTTTTTTTTAAATATTCTTTTGTTGTTGCTGTTGAATAAATAAACTTAGGGTAAAAAAGGTAGTGTTTGTATATTATCACCTAAATAAAAATAGAAAAATAATTCATGAATACTAAAAATGTGCATTAACATTTATATACACTTAGAGAAAAATATAAATAGATTTGATGCGATAAGAAGAGAGAAATAGAAAAAAAAATAAATATGTAATAAGGTAGATAAAATGAAGGTGTACATATATTACTGTTCATAAAAATTTTGTAAGTGGTAAATGATATTACTAAAAGAAAATTTTAAAGCAATAAATAAGTTTGTGTATTTTACTCTTATTTTCGCGAAACAAATGCATTATCAAATTTATGAATAAATATTTTTTATGAATAATAATATGCATACATGATTGATTTTATGAACTTTTATTACATATTTTTTTAATCTCTCTTTTTTAACATAGTACATTTGATAAAACTTATTAATTTTATAGTTTCTCTACGCTACATATTAAGTGTTGATTTTTCATTTTTTATTTCATAAATATTAATTGTTAATATATTAATTTATTCTTATATGTAACATTTTATTTTTAGTTATTATTATTGTTTTCACACCAACTAATTTTTACACACAATTTTTGTCCTTTTATTAAAATACAAAAAATTACTCTCTTTTTTCTAATCACCAAAATGTTTTTAAAAATTCTTTCTTTGTTTTTCTATTTTTACTACCATCTTCTAGGTATCATCACACAGGACAAGGAGTATACCTGGTGACAAGTCACAGGCTGAAAGCAACGTAGCTCTTGACTGAAATCTGGGATGCCAATGGAGTGGTGAATAATCCTTTGGCTGCCATTGTCGTTGGAATTTGGAGCTCCAACAATGCATATCACTGGAAGATCCTCGCTGTAAGCTCCGGCAATGGCGTTAAGGATGCTAAGCCCACCCACATTGAAAGTAACCACACATGCACTCACGCCTTTGCATCTCGCGTACCCATCGGCAGCATATCCAGCGTTTAGCTCGTTGCAGCAACCTATCAGGTTAATATCAGCTTCAGCTACCAAATAATCCAGAAGACCAAGGTTGAAGTCTCCAGGGACAGTGAAAACATCCTTCACACCAATCTCAACCAGACGCCGTGCGATGTGGTGGCCAATGGTGCTTTTGTTGCCTCCCTCGGTCGGAAAACCGACAACCTTGTTACTACATGGGCTGTTGTTCCCTTTTATCATTTTGCCACTGTCCTCCATGGAAGGTGGAAGAACAAAAATAATTCAAAGTGTGAATGTTTTTGTTAAGAATGTATGAGGTTCACCCTTACCTGCGACAGCTAATAACTAAAGAGATACTATATTGATGACAAGGTGGTGTGTTTTCTTCATCGAAACACCCAAAATCTATCTATATATATATA